TCTGGCTTTTGAAATAAACTCATCTTGTTCTGAGGGATGGTATCTATGATCCTCCTCCAAATAGCACAAGCCCTAGAAGCTGTGAGTGGCTGTCACTCTCGGGTGCAGAACATGCTGGGCTAAATGAAGAGATACATTACACGGGAAGGCAGTGTTTTGCTCCAGATGTCAAGGAATCATGTAGCTCGAGATCTTCTTTGACTTCCCTGGCCCATGCTGGTCTGTCTTCTCGGAATTCCCTTTGTACTTTTTGTAGCAATGACTAAATTTAGGTTTTTAATTCTCTAATATATGATTTTTTTTTTTTTTGCCTAACCTAGGAGTTCTTCAAGGGCAGAGACCATGGCTTGTTTATCAGCATGTGGCAAGGAGCCTGACTCAACACATTGAAAGAATAAGTGGATGAATGAATGAATGGACAGCTAGACAAGGAAATATAATTATGTCACAGTTAAAGACAGAAGTGAAAACAGGCCATCATAGGAGCAAAAAGGTAAGAGCACACACGGGGGGTGGCAAGGCGAAAGCTTCTCATTGTCATGGGGTAGGGCAGGGACAGTAGTCACAGGGGCACACTATAAAAAGAACATCTCTTTCAAACACTCCCTCCATTTCATGCTTCTCTGGAGAGTCAGCCATGTGTGTGCTGATAAGCTCTGCGGTTTGATGTGGAAGATGTGCTTGAGAAAATGTGTGATGATGTATCAATGCCTGAATGTGACAGCTGCCATGCTCTTGTTCCGGCTGACCTAGCCTTCACTCCTCCTGGGGTGTGAGCGGCTCAGGACAGCCTTGCCCCTGATGTAAAACCCTTGGAAAACTGAACTGGAAAGTACACATTCCGCATTTATGAATGAGGGCGAATTGGTTGGAATGTCTCCACTACTGCACTGGAGACTTAGGGATGTGGCTGCAGCCACTCTGACAGACTCCTGGTCCTCATTGAGGAATCCAGCCTTCAGTATGTTTAATTTTCCTTGGTGATAAGTGGCTGTGACAATGCCTTAAGGCAAAACAAAATAAGTCATCTCATAGTTGTGGAAGGAAGTAGACCTACTGAGCACCAGATGGGACTGTCTCCCAATCTCACGTGGACCCAAATGTGCAACTGCTATTTCTCCCTCAGGCCTCACTTCCTAGGAGCCATTTATCCCACTGTCTGTTGACGATGTGAAACTTATTTTTCTATTTATGAAACAGGCTTTTAAGATGCTGTTCCCAGGATGTGAGGGCTATTTTTCTATTCTTCTTCTTAATGTTAGCATTGCTCATAAAATTTATGAGGCTCGTTAAAGATTATAAATTACTTTTACATAATGAAATTTGTGGTTGCTTAATTCACTTTGTGCAATACGCCACACAGTATCCTATATGAGGGGAAATTTAATACATGCTGTCGGGGATAATATGATCAAGAACCACTATTTTATTGTTCATCCAGATTTTTCCATGTGCCAACTATGGGCAAAGCTCTTTATGTTAAAATTTAACACATAAATTCACAGGGCTGAATTGCTGGTGATCTCCTTATTTTATTTTTGGATCCTGATAAAAACTTTGCCCATCTTTTATTTATGTGAATATAATCTGCTTTTAAGATATCACTCTGGCAATTTCCTCAGAGACCCACTATATATTTAACTGAATTCTCTTGGGCTGCAATTCCAGCTACTACAACTTGCTTCATCTCTTCATCCTCAGAGAAGATGGTGGAGCAGGTAGCCGATAGCCTCTGCAAGCAACTGTGTTCACCTCTGGGAGTAAGTAATTTCTTTGATCTTTCCATGAACACTGTTTTCCAGAACTTTGTGATTCACTTCTGCAGCCTGTCAGATACCCTGAAGTCTTGAGGCCCAAATGGAGGCATATTTAAGCAAAGCTCTTGTGACCTCTTGGAAAAGGCACTGTACTGTTCATATGTTTTATGATGATCAAATATCAAATAGCTTTATTCCATTTATAACAAGGTAACTTGACATATTTCATAGCAATAATGGCTACTATTTAGCGAGTGCTTCCCATGTGCCAAAGACTGTATGAAGAACTTTACATTCATGATCTTGTTTAACCATTCTTCTAGCTCTATGAGGTATATGTTCTTAATGTGCCAAGTTTAGAGGTGAGGAACTCAAGGTCATGGAACTGACCAGTGGCAAAGCTAAGAACCAATCCTGGCCTGATCAATTTTCAAGTCCCTGCTAACTTTGCCTCTTTGTTCTGCTACCTTTATGGCGACTGCAGCCTCATTTTTGTACGGAAGTTATCTATAAAATAATGCCCACAATTTCTATCAAACTGCCAAAGGAAATATGTTACTTTATAGTCAAGTCAGATCAGGAATATCTGCCCAATTTGTTTAGTGACTTTTGAAGGAAGATATTTTACAAGTCTTCTGAAAATTAAAAGAATAATATAAGGTATTTTCCCCCTTGTTCATAAATGTGCACAAAAATGGAGCTGTTGGCTTAAGTAATAGATATTTTACTGCAAAGCCATGAAGAAACTCCCTATAAAGGATAGTGGTCTATATTCATGAGGTTCTAATTAAGGAACGTAAGAATTCTGTGATACAACAAAATGAAATGCCAATGAAAAGAGTCTAAAATATGGTCCACTCCTTTGATAAAAATCCACACATTTAAAAAGATTTACCAATGGAACTGCTCTCAGAAGTAAGAAACAATTAGAAGATGATACTGTCTATCATTTGGAAAACCAAACCAAACAACCAAATTAAATCAACCTACTTTCAAAACAACAAAGCAATCACACACATACATGTACAAAACAACTTGTGAAATGAAAATAAAAGTCAAGTATTACTGAAGACATTTTAAGGAATTACTGACATGTCGGTAGTGACTCAAAAAACTTTAATACAGCTTTTTTTAAAAAGGGAATGCTTAAAAAAAATCAATAATGGCATTTCCCTTTGTAAGCATATGTGACAGAGCTGTGTCATATGGAACAGGGGCCAGATGAAGGCCTCCAGTGGCCTCCACTTACATCAGAGGTTCCAGAGACTTGGGCTTAATGAAGATGGCAATGGGATAGAGCTGAGCAACTTGTAACCGCTTGATAGCATTTCCTGATACGTCAAGTATACAGTGTTTGCCCTGGTAGAAAGAGAAGAAAAATATGGAGTTAATCCAGAAAAAGTGATCATAATCCAACAGCCACTAAAAACAATGCAAGTGTGTTAGGGGAAGATAAGGGATAATGGATTTCTCAGGGTTGAGAAGGATCGCTGCAAAGCACAAGTAAAAGTTGTTACATAGGTGATTGCTGAATGCTTGCCATGACTAATATTTATCACTCCCTTACTAAGTGCCTGCCCTTGGGATAGACATTCCACATGTGTTATCTCAGTTAACTGTTTTCTTTTTAATGGAATTAATTGGGGTGACATTGGTTCACAAACCATACAGGTTTCAAGCGTACAACTCAATAAAACATCATCTGCACACTGCATGGTGCACCCATCTCCCCAATAAATATCGGATGCTTTGTCCAGAGAAGATATGTAGACATATGTAATGTGACCAGTCTATTCTCATAAAGCTTGGAAACCATCTCTGAAGACAGCTGTCAAGAAGAAATTCCTACATCTATGAGGTAGGTATTATCAACTGCATTTTACAGAAGAGAAGACTAAGGCTTAGAAATATGAACGAACTTGCCCAAAGTCTCAGTGTTCGGAGGATGGAAACACAAATCTTGAGCACTCACAGAGCTGTTGGTTGGAATAAATGGACACTTCATTGTCTTATCCCGCCTGATGGTAAATTTGGAAGAATGGTAATCATGTGAATTTAGAATAATTCCATAAGTATTTGCTGAGTGCTTATATGTATCCTGACCTTGATATGCCCAGCCTAGCAGAGGACACTCACAACAAGAGTTACCTTAAATCTTGTATCTTAAATGCTGAGAGAGAGGCTTGCACAGGGTATGTAAATTTCTTGTTTGTTAATGAATAGAAACCCTATTACATTATAGCACAGCTCATTTAACTTGGCTTCCACTGCAATGAGTGCTCAGAGCAAGGAGTTGCTTTATAAAGTATTCCTAGAAAAGTAGATATATTTGCCACACATCAGATTCTACCTCCTGGAGAGAAATGGCCTCATTACTCTGATGCTGGCAGAACTTTACACAAGAAGAGAAAAAGCACATTATGCAGATAGAAACAGTCCTAAATAGGGGATAACAACTCATCTATAATATTTAAGTGAAAATGAGCTGAGTCCATGAATACTTGAGCTCTCATAATAGGAGAAATGCACTGAGATGGTTCAAGCCTTTACCACAGAAGTAATAGATTCCAAGTCTGCTATCTGTGAAGTGTAGCAGCTGCATAAAGTTTCTAAGTGATTTATTCACTGGCCAGAACATTTCGAGTTAACAATGGTTGTATCTTTATGTTCAAAGAGGAGAATAGATGCGATTCTCCAGGAAACCGATTACAAACAGTATGTTATAGAAACTAACTTTTGAGAGAGAGGGAAATAGATGCAGCTGCTTAGTGTATTCTTAGGTAGACATTTAAATTTCTTACTTCATTTTTGTACCAGTACATCAATAGGGAGAAAACAGTATTCAACCCAACAATAAATATCAATTATATAACAAATATAATTGGCTCTTAACTCTTTTTTCCCCTCTTATGAAATGAATTCTCTGTTGACAGATCTGGATGTCTCTATAGGCAGATCTTAAAGCCACACTCATGTGCTTTTCTATTCTATTCTTTTTGGAATGTTCTCCTCTTTCCAGTCACTTAAAATTATTAGCAGAGAGGCAATCGCAGCAACAACAGCAACCTTAAGTTGGAATTTTTGCCAGTAGTAGGCTAGGCAGTCAGCCCATCTCTCTCTCTTGATCACGGGGATCTTACATTTTCAGGGAGATAAGATGTAACTCCTGCTAATAAACAGACTCGAGGATGCTGATCCAAACCACCAAGAGTAATGAAGCTTCCTTAATAAGTTCGATGTTGTTTACTGGGACCAAAGTCAAGGACAGAGGGAATCTTCATAAACTTCAAGCTGTTCAATGCCTTTATGTTTATACGCCACCCTTTCCCCCTCAAGTCCATCAGCTTATTTTACTGAGATTAGAACAAAGATTAATGACCATGTTCTAAAGTGATTCTTTGCTTAGAGGTCTAAAAGAATTGTTTCATCAAACTTTACAACTGCAATCAGGAAAGAGTAATGACCAAAATATACAGTTTGCCAGCTGGGACCCGTCGGCAGGGGAGGTGTACGATGGTTGGTGAACATACCCTTTCTGCTACAAATCTCACAGACTGCACACTGGTTCCATACAAGTTGTCGTTGTACTGGCCGGCTTCTATAAACTTGTGCTCTTGGATATCCTTCTCCATTTGTTCTCTGGAAATGACAAAGTGATAGTCTCTGCCATCCACTTCATAGTCACGCTTTGGCCTTGTAGTATCTTTATAAAACAAAAAAATAACATGAAGATCTTACATTGACACCCGTAAACTTCTTTACACTTATTTACCCCACTACACACCCAACATAAATAGATAAAAATATGTAATATGAAGTACCATGGCATAGTCATAGGTACCAGTGTTAAGCCTCCTACTGTAAACAACTATAAAACTAGACAAAATACATGGAACAACTATTTTCAGGCATCAGACAACAGGCAGTGCAGAGCTGTGATTCTTGATAAGAGAAACATATAAGGAGAACTACATTCACTCCATTTTCATTTCTTAATAGATAGTCTAGAGGTCATACAGTGGCCCTAGAAAGATCATATTTTGGAAAGTTACTCTAGACCCATCTTCACCATCATTACTGGAAGAAGCTGATCTGTCAGTAAATTATTACCTGTCAGAACAAAAACTTAATATTTTATAAAGAAAAATTACAAAATCCAGATCCTCAGTGATGTAGTATCACAATAAAATATTATGGGACAAGCAATGAAGCAAGAAAATGTGTCATAAAACCAGGGGGGGAGCGGGGAAGGACAAACAGTAGAAATATATTCAGGAATTTAAAAATATATAAAATCAGATCATCAAAGTTTAGGTGGGACTGAAAGTCATCAACTCTAATTGTGGCTAGAGGTGGCTAAATTCTTTGTAAGAGGAGAAGAGCAAACAATTATCAATATCAAAAAAAATGTTAATATATTTCTAATCTTTGACTCAGCTACAGTATTTCTAGGAATCTATATTAAAAATTGCCAAAACATAAAATTTTATCTTGAAAGATGTTCAGTTATACCAGTTTATAAATTATAAATAACTTTAACATTTAATTACAATTCCATAATAGTGAAAAGCAGAGAAAACCCACAATACCCATAAAGGAAGATGCTTAATTATGGCATAGTAAAAATTCAAAATATTTATATAAAATCTCTCTATATATAAGGCTAATTTTCTAAGTGTCCTTCTGACTGTCCAAGGGGCAGACGCTCAACACAGGAGCTGCTGTGACGTGCACTGGCCATTTACAAAGGAATGGCACTGTGGACCTGGCGCCCACAAAGCAAAACTCGGCTTCCCCCAAGTGGGACACAGGCCCCGCCACCACCCTGGAGTGACAGCCCACCAAATCGCAGCTGCTGCTGCCGAGACCCCATGGCGCAAATTGTGGTCCACAGCCCTGACCAGAAACGGTTGCTGTGGGCGCCAGGTAATGATGTCACGCAGCAACGCTCGGCTTCCTCTCTCTAGTGTCTAGTCTCCTTGGAGTTTCTTCAGCCCAGGAACACAACTTGCTTTACAGCCAGGGGCCTCTGTTCTCCCTGTGTGATCTACAATAATCTGCTTCCTATTGATATTTACTGCTGTGTTGTTGACAATTACCTGAAAGAGAAGTTTGAAAGAGAAGTTGGGCTGGAAAAAGTTTAGCTAAATCAGAAAGCAGGTCTAAATAAGCAATTTTATCTATTTATCTATATATATATAAAGCTCTTGCTGGCACCAATCACGTGTGTGTTTCCATCTGTCATGTTGATCATGAATTTGGTTGACACTTATAGAGAAAGGGTGAATAGCTATAGTAAAACATTTCTTCTAATTATTTCCCTTTCAATGTGCATGAATTTGTGCACTGGCTCTCTAGTTTTAATGTTAAATAAAAAATACTGTATATATCTAATGTGTACCCAACCACAGGAGAAAATGCTCATATAGAAAGAATGAATAGATGGAAAATACTAATAGTGATGTTATTTCTGGATACTGTGTGGGGTTCTGTATATTTTTATTTTCTTGCTTAACTCTATTTTTTAGCAATTCCAAGTTTTAGAAACACGTGTTTCTAAACACGTACATTGAACACGTGCTTATTATCATTTTATAGTGCTATTAATTAAAAAAAGAGTAAAAAAAGAGTGTGCAAGGTTGAGGAGAAAATGAAAATGATACTTAAGGATTGTGTTTTCTCGTGAAACTGGGAAAAGTTTCACGAGATTTAGTCATCATTTTAGTTCCCTTCTGTTCATGTACTGCACACATACAATTCCTGCTATTCTTATGCATTCCAGGTGACATGTGTAGTACTGAAATATAAGAGACACTTCAAAGCATAGAGCTTTAAAAATGTAGAATGAGAAAGAAATATTTGTTGGGATCAGTTTTAAGAGCTCAATAAGCTAATCAATTAAAATTTTCTGGTGGGTTTGTCTACATACACAGAAGGCTTCCATGCATCAATTTGACAGTGAGAAAGATGGAAGTGAGTTGAGAGAG